GTTGTGCTTGGTGCTGCTAGGTGGCTAATGCTGGTCTGGTCACAGGTGAATGCTGGCGGCTGCCTGGAGTCCAATCCTTCCTCCTTGTGAGTGTGTGTGTTCTGAGAAGGTGTTGTAACCACCTCATTGGGCCGCTGCTGCTTTGTTTGGTGTTATTTTGTGCTGCTTTCACTGTATTGCCGTTTATCTGTTGCTGCCTAGCGGCTTCCAAGATACACGCTGTGCAGGGCGATTGTTCGGCCGTACACTGCGGTCCAGGCATAATCTTTATTTTTTTTTACTGGGGACTGATCCCCCTTATGCTGAGTGCATGGGTGTGTGAACGTGTGATTGTGATAGTGTGTCTAGGTTGACCCTGGATTTTGTTTGTGTAATTCTATTTAGTTAATTCAGAGTTGTTTTGTAAATTGTTTGAGTTTTGTTTTCTTTAGTTTTTTGTTTTGTTTTGGGCAGTTATCATTTACTTAGTTTTAAGTTTTGGGTACTTTATTTTGTGTGTGTGCGCAACCCCACCAATGTGTTATTCTTTTTCCTCTTCAGTTGCTGTAGGCCAGTGGTGGTGGTGCTGGTGACCTGGTGGTGGTGTCCTCTGTCGTATCTTGCTGTGTCCCTGGGAGTGGGTTTCTTCACTGAGGGTGTTCCTGGTGATTTATGTTATTTTTGCCTTATTTTGGTGGATCCTGCCCCTGCACTAGCCCTTGCCCATCCACTTAGGCCTCAGCCCTGATTAGGTTTCTCTTTTATTTGTGTGAATGAGTTTTACGGAGCATACTTTTTAAAAACAAATGTTGAATACATTTTTCAAATTCAAACTTTGAGTGTTATTGAATTGTGTTGTCTGAAATCTGTGCTGCTTTTATAGCTAGGCTGTTGCACGCGCTATCATCTTTTCTAACCTCCTTACTCGGTGTTATACTCTTGTACACCATCAGTATTTCATTAACTTGTAACGTTATAAGTATTGGGATCAGGAAAACTCCGACAAAGTCCTTTGGCTTGAGTAGTCCACGCGACCTCCCTTCCCCCACATACTTTGATAACATCACAAGCACTGTTTCATTGTACCTGAGCGCATCTTGGTGCGCGTACACAACACCCTTTCACACCTCCGTGAGAGCGCATACACGCCTCACGTGATTCCTGTAGCCGTCCCTTCTACCTCGCAGTTCTTCTTCCACTGCGCAGTTGCGTATCTGAACACGCCTCACGGGCTCAGTCGCTTGCTGACCAGCTCTCTTGTGCTGTGTCGGCCAGGAGCTAAGTTGCTAATTGCTAACTGCTTTCTTCGCGCCCAGCTTTCGGCGCATGCGCATCAGGTCTGTTGGTTTGTCGGGTCTGTTGATACATGTAATTACAGTGTCGCTACGTGACGTATGGTGTCGTTCGGGGACGGTTTAAAGAAATGAATGTATTGTTTGTTTTTATTAAGTGCTATTATTGTTTTTAGTTTTTCTCCTATGGATAGGCCTTTAATTAGCCATGATGGCAGGAATGGACACAAAGTAAATACCAATATTGTTCGTGGATATGATGTCAGATTGGGGATGGAGAGGGGCCAGCAGATTGCTTCACTGTGTTTTGGTAGGGGTAGGTCCATGTCCCCTGGTGCTCACAACTACACAGCTGATCAGTCAGCTTTTAATCATTTATTAGCTCCCACTGCTAGCTCCACACCCTTTACCCAGTCTGCCCCTGAGCCTACCAAGTCGTCCCTGTTGAGGCTCTTGGGTGTTTAATCACAGATTTAGCCAAGAAAATTGGAGACACTATTTCAGCTAATCTTAGCATTGTGCAGCAGACCAATGCGGCCCAGAACCGATGTCAGCCATCTAGTGATGCTGGTTTGTCGCAGCTCAAGGTCCTCGTGCAGTCAGACGTTAAAGTGACCGCACTGATATGTTTTCTGTTCACGAGTGGGAGGATATGATGACACGTTACCTCAAAAGAGTAAAATGTGATACACCTGCTGAAATGCATGATTTATTAATGTCAAGACTGACAGGCAGAGCCAGAGATGTGGTTAAGGTGTCCCTCCGCAGTCACGATGGACTGAGTGCATTAGATCTTTCGCTGCATCAGATCTTTTGCTGTCTTTGACATATTGAATTGCAACTTTAGTCAGCTGTCATATTCCATCTTGCCCATGAAAGATTTCTATGGTACCATTCCCCATGCTAATGAGAGTGATATGGATTACTGGATCCACCTTAACAAGTCCATTGATGTTGCTGATGAGTGCCTCTGTAGAAGGGGTAAGTCTGTTGAAGATCCCAGTGCAGAGGTGGTCATGATGTTTAACCACTGCCCCGATCCCAGTCTTTCCATGTCCTTTCAGCTGAAGGCCCCAGAACAGTGGACTGCAGGTGATGTTCAGGAGCGTCTGGATGGTCATGCATCCAGTGTGAGGAGGGCAGCAGCTCAGAACCATCAGGCAGTTGATTTGTCTGCTTACAGTCAGAGTCCAGTGACTGATCCTCTTCATCCTTCTAATTCTAGGGTGTTTCCCACCCCTCTGCCTCCTTCTGCCATCACTCAGCCAGCCACAGAGTCTTTCAGCAGGTTGTGGCCATGTTTGACAAGTTTTGTCTCTTTGTAATACTTCAGTTGCAACCAATCAGAGGGTTGGTAACTTTCAGCCTGTTGGCCATCAGCCATCTCAGAGACAGCTCAACCATAGCCGCAGTCAGGAGTGCAATGGATACCATATTAGGCAGATGTGTCCACGGCTTTCCAATTCCTCAGCTGCATTATCCCCTTCTCCTTCTTCAGCTGATTTAAACTAGTGCACCTGTGTGAAGAGAGGGGAAGCATGGGCAGCATTGGTGAAACCCTCGCTGTCAGTGGAGATGTGCAGTCGGTCTATGTGAATTGCTGTAGTAATCTTCCCAGTGACAATACAGTGGTTGTTGTTGGTTCTCAGAGTTGAAGTGGCTAGTGATTTGTTTTACACTCCAGTTTCTGTCAGGGGTCAGGCCACTTTGAAAAGTATGATTGATTCTGGAAGTATGTCATGCATGCTCATTGTGGAGGGGGAGACCAAGCTCAGAGATGCTGGTGTTTTATCGAGTCCTCAGTCTGTTCCTGAGAAGTCTGTTCCACAACTACAACCTTGTTTGTTGTGGTGGTCAACCTCGTTGCATTTATGAGCTGGCTGTTGAGATTTACGGTTTGAAATTTGTCATGTCTACTTTCCTTGTTCCAGGACAGAGAGATGAGCTCATAATTGGGAGTAACGTCATCAGGCCATTGATACAGGGTCTGAGATTGGATGAGAAATACTGGGAGCTCATTTGCTCCAGTACTTAATCACTCTCTGCGAACTAATCACTCACTGCGAACGAATCACTGTGTTACAGCCTGAGAAATATGGTACTGTCAGGCTGCGTCAGGCTGTCACTCTTGCTCCCCAGCAGGAGTATTTAGTGTGGGGGAAGTTACCTGGTAATGCTCCTGTTTCACCTGGAAGCGCTGTCATTGTGGAGCCCACGTCTTCCCGCTCTGCCCCCAAGGACATCATTGTGGGTAGGGTTGTAGCACCTATGTGGGGCGACAGATGGGTGCCAATGAAAATTCTTAACTCGACAATGAGCCCTGTCACACTGCGTAGGAATGCAAAGGTGGAGGATCTTCCTATCTCCCAGGGTATAAGTAGGCCTCAGTCTGGCAAGGCTTCTGGCCACGCCTTCACCGCCGACATCATTTCTTCCCCTACACAGCGACTTGAGGCCTATGGCTTAGCTGACATTGAACTTGAGGGCTGTGATGTGTCACGTAAATGGAAAGAGAGACTAGCTGACCTTGTGCTTTCTTACCAGGATGTTTTCTCAAAGGACAAGCTGGATTGTGGAGAAGCACAGGACTTTGTGCATCGCATTCACCTTACTGATGATCGCCCTTTCAGGCTGCCCTATTGCCGTATCCCTCCAGCCCACTATCACAAATTGAGAGAGGTGCTGTCAGAGAAGGAATTGAAATGCATCATCAGTAAGTCTGTTAGTGAATATGCCTCACCACTGGTCTTGGTCTGGAAGAAGTCTTCCGTTGGCTTAATGCCAAGACTGTCAAGGACGCTCACCCACTGCCCCACCAGGCTCATTGTCTTTTTCAGCACCATGGACCTTACATCGGGGTTTTACAACATTCCCATCCATGAGTCAGACAGAAAGTACACAACCTTTACAACACCTTTGGGCCTGTACCAATACAATCGGCTTCCCCAGGGCCTGTGCAACATCCCTGCATCCTTTATCCGGATGATAATCTTTAGTGTCTTTAGTGATTTAAGTATCTCTAGTATACTTTGTTACCTCGATGACTTACTGGTCTTCGCTGCTTCCGAGGATGAAGCCTTGAAACGACTTGAGACCATCTTTTCACGTCTCAGGGCAAGTAACCTCAAACTATGCCATTGTGAAGCTGCTCTACGCTCTTACTGCAGGACAGAAAAGAAAAGCTAAAGGCTCCTTTGGTCTATGGAGAGCTGGCACTTTTCGTGAACTGACCCCTGATGAGTGGACTCCTGCATGTGAGTGCTTTTGAGACTTTGAACAATGCACTCCTAAACAGCATGGTGCTAGCACATCCGGACTTTTATAAGCCTTTTATCCTCTCTACCGATG